CCCCGCGGCTGCCGGGCGTGTGAGCGGCCTTAGCCCAGGAGGCGGCGGCGCCGGATTGGTCTCCTTGACTCAGGTCAGCCCCCGGGAAGGCGGATCCCCACCACGGCCCGGGGAGCCCTGAGCCGATCCCCACAAAACCCGGGGAAGAGACCCCGGAAGCTGCTCAAGCAATTGCCGGGAGGGAGGGGGAAGCGCGGCGCGCTCAGTACCGCCCCTCGTCTCGCGATCACGCGGGGCGGAAAAAGGAAGCAAAGGACGGCCCGGACGCCCAAACAGGTTGGCTGGAGGCTTGGGAAGGGGCGGGACAACCAGGTAAAGGAGGATTGCGCCTGCGCCTTGGGACTTGCCCGCCCGGCCGCTTCCGGGTCCAGGCGCAAAGGCCTCCCGGGAGAGGCGCGGGGAAGGAGACTCAAGGTCCTGGGGGTGGAGAACCTGTGGGCTTGGCGCGGTTGCTAAGGGAGGTCGTAGGATTTGCCCAAAGCCGCCCAGATTGGATGTAGAAAGGACGGGGAGAGGCTCGAGTTATCTTTTGTTAAGATCGTGGCATCCTTGCTGCCTGGGGCGTAGGCGGCTGTGGGCCGGGTCCGGGCTGTGGGCGCGGACTTGGAATGAGGCCGAGCTAGCCCTGTACTTAGCGATCTTGGAATCCACCGTATTGTTTTCACAATTATCAGCGTCGTCATCCGAGTTGTAAATGCACGCGTTTTTTAAAGACCTAGGGCAGGAGGGTTTGTAATGAAAAGCAAAGTTCAGCCTTAGGAGCCGCCACTTTTAATCAGTTGTGCTCTTAGTTCTGATCCCTAAAAAGTTGAACTTAAATGCTGTTTATTTGTTCGTTTTCGTTAGTCTTTGACTTAATGCCATGCTAATGTAGAGCACACGACACCACCCCCTTTATATCTTCCTAATTTACCTTTATAACTTTCATCAACATACTTAATCCCGTTTTTTAAAAATGTAAGAAATGGCCAAACCTGTAGAGAATTTTTATGAGTTTATTTGAGCAAAATTGATGCCATATTTGGGGAAGCAAGATCTCAAATGCTGCGGAGAATAACAATTTTGCAGGACAGTTATCAACATTATGTGCTGCTCCCTTGAGGGTGATTTTGCTTATTTCCAAGTTTTGTTAACTTAGCTGCATGCGAACGATGGACAGGGCTGCCTTAAAACCTTCACTACAGTAGTTACAGGCCTGGGATGTGATTGCCCACCACGGTGACTGTTAGGTGGCTCAGGAGGCGGCGTAGGAAATAAAGAGAGCCAAGTCAATCAGAAAAGTAAGAAAAGGAAAGGTTTTAATCTGCGTCCCCGGGCGCCCACGAACCCCAAAGACAGGGCCAGTGGATTCACGCCAACAGGGAAGGGGGGTTTCTTTTTATACAGGTGTTTAATGAGGGGCAGGGCATGAGCTGAGGAAGCTACCCCGCCCCCCCCACCCCCCGGGGGTCATCACGGTATTCAGCTGAGGGCTCCCACCGTAGGGGTGGGCAGGGTATTCAGGGAGGAGCCAGTATCTGTGTCTGGCACCCTGATCTGTTAGAAATTCCAGGGAGGGTCCCTTATCTCGTCACGCATCTGCATGCATCTGACCCTGGGCTCCCTCCAACCTAACAATGACCTGCCCATTTAGGAATTTATGATCAGATCACCCTGTGAAGTTATTTTCCATAGGACCTTTTTTTTTCTATCCACAAAACTATAAATTTAATGCTCTGTTCCTTCCAGCCCTGGGAATAGGGTACGACGAGTGAATCATTCACCTCCAACACAAAATGTAAGGAAGTACCAAAAAATAAAGATTAACTATTTTAATAGAACATTTTAAAAAATCAAAATCAATGCAAGAAAATGCACAATGAACAGAATATCAAAATTCTAAATAAATACAAGTTCATGATTACTGATTGGTCCTTTGGTCTCAAGCTCTGGCATACTTGGGGAAGGCACTGTTACTGAAGCTGTTTTTAATGCTCCCAGGCATTAAAATATTTATCTTGGCTACTGTGTTTAGATTGTATTCCTCTTGCAAAAACTGGCTCAGAAGTTCACCAACACAACAAAGCCGAGTTTATTGCTTCCTCGGGCAAGAACACTACTCGGCCAACACTTGGGCAGTGTCTCAGAGAGGAGAAGGTAAGGCCAGGATTTTTTGAGAATTGGAAGCTTGGTTTAAGGCCAGTTTTTAAGTTTAAGAGTCTTGATTAGGATTGGGTAAGAACGCACAACAGTCCAAAATTGGTGGAAACGGGAGGGAATTCAAAGAATCTCGGTGGGCAAACTGGCTGTTGATATTCAAACCATTTGCCTGGCCTGGGCGGTTGAGGAAGAGTAAAGAAATGCCAGGGAAGACAGCAGCCCACAAAGTCACTTTAATGTAGGCAGGAAGGTGTGGTTGGGGTTCTCTGTATGCCAAGCTGAGTGTGGGGGGAGATGGATTGGGTGTTCACTCTCTTCTGCATCCATTCAATAAATATTTCATAGTGTCCCATATGCTGTATTGGACACATCAAACTTGTACGCGGTGCCTTTAGCATCCACGGATGATTCTTCTCTGAATACATTTTCCTCTGATTGGAAAACTTTTAAAGACAGAGAAAGATAATCCTTTTATTTGGTTACTGTGAAATCCATTTCACTGAGATTGGTGTAACATTTGTCATCCCCACATGCTAGAACATTTTGAGGCCATAGTTCAAATCGTGTAACTGGAGTTTTCAGATTGAAGATTCATGGTGCAATATCCGCTAACAAAGAATCGTAACTTCTAGAACGTTAATGAGTTGCTTCTGGGTTGGCGAACATGTGGTGGTGTGTGTGTGGGAGAGCGGTGCCCTCACAGGGCATGGACGCTCCCTGCCCCTTCCCACACACCTTGCCCTGTGCACTCTTCCATGGGCCTGTTCCTGAGTTATCTCCTTTCATAATAAGCTGGTAATCTAACCTAGGTGTGGAGTGGTAAGCATACACCGTCAAGGTTCTTGTCTTCAAGAAACAAACCCAAAGCCGATCAAAGCTCTGATGAACTTGGTTACAGGCGTGACTTCTCTGACCTTCAGCCCGACCCCAGAAGTCTTGGCAGTCGCTTCAGAAGAGATGGAAGAAATAGTCAGATTGGTTCCTCATCCTTCCTCTAAAGCAGTGGTTCTCAACCTTCCTAATGCCGCGACCCTTTCATACAGTTCCTCATGTTGTGGTGACCCCCAATTTCATTGTTACAAATTGAACATAAAGCATAGTGATGAATCATAAAAACAGTATGCAATTATATATGTGTTTTCCGATGGTCTTAGGCGACCCCTGTGAAAGGGTTGTTCGACCCCCAAAGGGGTCTCGACCCACAGGTTGAGAACCGCTGCTCTACAATATTTTCCAACTTCCCAGTCCTTAAAAAGAGAAGACGATTTCTCTTGTTCCTACCAGGGATTTTTCTCTCTCCCAGAAGTGTCTTGGGGAATGAAAGGGCAGGGCCCTCAGTTACGGTTGCACCCCTCCTCACACTCCTGGGGAGGTTAGTTGAAATCCAGCTGAGTCGAAGAGAAGCCCATCCTGATAGTTCTTCTTGGAAACGTTACGGAATGTGTGATAATATGTGGCTGGTGATTTATGGCGCCAGCTGTGCTTGTCTTAATAAACGCATAGCAACTTCTGTTTGAAAAGGAAAAGTTGAGGTTAAATTTATAAGTGTGTGCCCCCAAAGAATCAGTTCTGCTGTGTGACATCTTTAAAAATTAAAATAAACGTGATGGCCTTGTTACTGATAGCGTAGCTTGGAGTATACATGGTCTTGAGAGTAGGAAAATGACCTGGTTCAGGTGTCGTCTGTGTGTTTTCATGCTGTGATGGCAGCGTTGAGAGGTGGGGACAGATCTCAGATTGCCTCCTGCCCCTCAGACCCCTCCCCCCGCCTTGTCTGGGGAGAAGGGAGGGAATGGGTTGCACAGGGGTTGGAGTAGGAACAAGATTTCTCCACGTAGAGCTTTTGTATGTTTTTTGTTTTTCAAAATATGTGAAGGCATAACCTATCAAAAAGATGTGGTTTTTTTATTTATTTATTTATTTTAAACCACCATCCGCTGGTTGTGGCTGTCAGGCATCATCCGTTAATCCCCGCCTTGTGTTCTGCTTGGTCTGTCAGGAATCTTCAAAAATCCACCCCAACGCCTTGGCCACAGGAGCCAATGACGCTGCCCAAACCCGGGATCTATTACTTCCCCTGGGAGGTCAGTGCGGGCCAGGCTCCTGACGGGGGCGCACTGCGGACGTTCGGCAGGTGAGATGCTTGTTTTTCCACAAAGGGGGGCGGGGGGATGTTTAAGTGGCTGCCTCCCCCTCAAGAAAACAATTAAAATAGTCATCATTTTGTCTGATTAAAAACTTAATATGCATTCATTGTAAAAAACATGTAGACAATTCATAAAGGTGTAAAGAAAGCAAGCAAAAATCACCTGTGATCCCACTGAACAACCACTGCCTATGTTTTGGTGGTTACTTTACACACTTTTTCATGTGTGTATGCATGTATACATGTATATGTGGGTGGGTATGTATACACACTATGTATACACACGTGTACATACATGTGTACTGTACAAGTCAGTCATTTTATTGCCATGTAACAAATTACCCCAAAATTTAGTGGCTTAAAAGGAGAATGAAAGCTTATTATTTCTGCCCTGGCCTGTGTGGCTAGAGCAGCATCCCATGCACCAAAGGGTCTCAGGCAGGTACCCAGGTTTCGGGTTCAATCTCTGGTAGGGACACATACGGGAGGCAACCGACTCATGGATGTTTCTCTCTCTCATTGATGTTTCTCTTTCTCTCTCCCTCTCCCTTCTTCTTTCTCTTAAAAAACAACAACACCACAGCCTGGCCAGTTTTGCTTAGTGGATAGAGCATAGGCCTGCGGACCAAAGGGTCCCGAGTTTGATTCCGGTCAGGGGCACGTATCTTGGTTGCAGGCTCCTCCCTGGCCGGGGCCCTGGTCAGGGCTCGTGCGGGAGGCAACCAGTCAATGTGTTTCTCTCGCATCAGTGTTTCTCTCTGTCTTTCCCTCTCTCAAAAACAAAAACAAAAAAAAACACACCACAATAATACAAAACAAAAGCTTATTATTTTATAGTTGCTATGGGTCAGGAACTTGGGAGTAGATTAGCTGGGCCAACACCTGAAGGCTGGGCGGGCCCTGGGGGATCTGCTTCCGGGTGACTGGGTCACACGTTTGGCGAGTTAGTGCTGGTCAAAGACTCAGGGAACCTTGGGGTGATAGAAACGTACTAAATCTTGACCCGGGTGGTGGTTACACCAAGTGTGTATTTTCATCAAGACTCATTGGACAAGTGTCCTTTGATGCATGTAATTTATACCTCAACAGTTTTTCTGATTTGTTGCTGCCATTTTTATTTTGTCTGATCAAAGTAAGACTGACCGTTTTTTCCTCCCAAAGCCTGGTAAGCTCTAAGCTCCGTGGCGGTTGTGTCTAAGGAGAGAGACGATCGCACTTTCCCTGACTTCCAGGTTGAGCCTCTACGACATGACCGAGTCCCGAGCGACCCTGACAGCTCAGCACGCGTCTGAGCAGCACCAGGTCCTCGTCTGTACCAAGTTGGTGGAGCCGTTCCAGGCCCAGGTGGGCTCCCTGTACCTGGTCCTTGGGGAGCTCGAGCAGCAGAAGGGTAAGCCGGGGCCTCACACGCTTTTGCACTCTGGGTCCTGAGTGGTGACTCGGTTGGGACTGGGCCTGGTGTCTGACCCAACAGTGTCCCTCACGGGGATAACATTCCTCCCGATCATCCCACAAGTTCAAGGGCCCATGGGAAGCATGTGACTGGGCTCAGAGCCCATCTGCCACAGGGCATTGCGCAAGAGTAGAGGGAAACCATTCATTTCTGAAGGCCCACACGTCCAGGCCTCGTACCAGGTTTGCTTAAATCTTTGAATCTGCCCACCTGCCCTTAATCTGAGTCTTATTATTGCTGGTTCATAGATGAGAAAACCAAGGCTCAGAGAGTGTGGGGCTGGACTCACCATCCCGGAAGTCAGGGTCAGAGAAAGAGGACAGCCCTGGCTGGTGTGGCTCAGTGGAGAGTGTCAGCCTGCGGACTCAAGGGTCCCAGGTTCGATTCTAGTCAGGGGCATGTACCTTGGTTGCAGGCACATCCCCAGTAGGGGGTGTGCAGGAGGCAGCTGATCGATGCTTCTCTCTCATTGATGTTTCTAACTCTCTATCCCTCTCCCTTCCTCTCTGTAAAAAATCAATAAAATATATTTTAAAAAAAGAAAGAAATAGGACACAAGAGGAGACTAAAAGCAGCCTGAAAGAATCTCTGGCTTCCAGAGTTGAAGGTTGCTCTTTAAAACTCAGGTCCTCCCATCCTTTGCCTCCCATATGGCTGTCCCTGTGCCATTTTCCTTCCTATGTTTGATGTCTTACTATGTTGGAGCTGGTTATTTTGGCTTCATATTATATCATAAGCATTTCCCCACATCTTCACATTTTTCTAGGTATAGTGTTTGGCTATATAATATTTTATAGATTAGATGTGTGACCTAATTCACGTGACCATTGGACATTTATATTGTTTTAATTCTTTGCTCTTATAAATACACTGTACATTGATTATTGGTTAAAGAAAGTATGGTATATTTACTCGGTAGAATATTATGCAGCCATCAAAGGTGATGTTGTAGCCCTGGTGTATTTTAAAGCAAATATAGGACATTGTCTCATTTTACTCATAAATACCTCAGCATGTATCTCTCCCACCACCACAATCACACCCAACAAAAATAATGGCCATTCCTTCACTGAGATTGGTGTAAGGCCCCCAGTTGCCTCAAAAACAAGTAAACAAGCCGAGTGTTCACAACTGGCAGCTCAAATCAGGCCCCCGAAGTTCACACATTGCACCCGGATCACACATCCCAAGTCTCTGTTCACCTCTAGCAGTCTGTCTTCCGGTTTTCTTTCTTTTTATAAAAAAAGCCATTTATCGGAGAATTAGCCGTCTGTTGTGTAGAATCCAGTGGAGTCCGGAACTGTCTAGTTATTTCCTCCTGGCTGCCTTACTCACACTCCTTCCCTGGCATTTATCCGGCCTTTTTCTGTTTGGATTGTGCTTCAGGGAAACCACATGATTGATGGGGGAAAGCTCGTCAGAGGAGAACATGGTGACTAAATGCAGGAGAAGTCATTGCATTTGAAAGTCGCCTCTTCGGAAGCCCTGGTGAAATAATAAATCCAGGCCATGAGCCTGATCACCAGCTGCTGGACTCGTTAGGCGAAATCACGTGGGGAATGTGGTAGAGCAGGGACCAGGCCAGCCCGTCCAGCCGACCATTAATGAGGCAGAGTGAGCAATCGATTGATCGCTCTGCCGTGACGCACCCAGAAGGCACACAGCGCCGCTCTGAAGGGCGCCGAAAAGGGAAAAGCTGAGCCTGAACATCAGCCCTCAGGTCAGGCAGCAGTCTCCTGGCCTGTCGCTAGTTACTGAGTATGTTACAACCTGAATTTTTCTTCCCTTGTTTTTAAAT